TAAGCAGCAGGAGGCAAAAGCGGGCAAAGGAAAAAATTAAAGGCAAAGCAAAAATTAATCTAAAGCAAAAGTTTTTGAAAACAGTGATGGTCCCCAAGGACCATCATACTTAAACAAAACATCACCTATTTATAAGCATATTTTCTTCCTTTTTTTTTTTTTTTTTTTTTTGAAATTTTAGGATTGTTACATTGATGCATGGTAATGACGGTCTTTGTAGTCTTCTTTGCACAAAATGCTTCATGCACAAAGTTCTAGAATCCAAGTAAGGCCATATGCACATGGTCCAATAGGAGGTAACTGATAATGGAGGTGCCAAAAATTTCAAAATATCTCCGGAAAAGGCTCCATGTTGGAGTTGTGAGTTGAATAATTTTGAGATGAGGGGTGTGCTGGAAATGGGTAAAGTAGTCAAAGATCCATCTTCTTACAAATACCAAATAGTCTCTTAGGCTATGATTTTTTATCTTGCTTTTAAATCTAAAAATCTTGTTTATAGTTTATATTCTATGCTCAAAGCTTGTGTTAGAGAGATCAAAGATCTGTTTCGAAGTTTTAAGCTGGTAGTATTTCATCTTATACCCAATTTGTGTGAGAGAGGTCGAGGGCTCAAGCCCTTGAACTTTTTCCATAAAATCAAAGAAAGCTAATCTACCTTTTTTTTTGTTCAGTCTTTTGTTGGAAATGCAAACTAAACTTCTTATTTCCTTTTTAGAGTCGCCCATCAGTAGTTGAGTTCTTAGAAATCCCATTTGTTGTCTAATGTGCAACGTATTCGAATGATTGCTTTATTGGGCTATTGCAGCCATGAAAAGATAATCGGCGAAAATCTCATTTTCTTGTACATATAGAATCATATATTATTGATGTTATTGATAGTTAGTCTAAAAAAGGTGAGGACCTTAAACTTTCTCTTAACTTGTCCCAAGCGTAAGTAAAGTAGGTGAGTTGTGTTAGGTAGGCAGCTAACGTAAAATTTTATCAATGCTTTCCATGAATCATGATGATGATGTTTAATGTTTGTAGCCATCAAGATATCGATGTGAGCCATCCAGAATTTTTCAGCAGTGCCAAGCTCAATGGTTATGTATTGCCAAATAAAGAGGAAGTCTTAAGAAATGTTTTTCTTTCACATCAACCACATGTGTTCTTGGTAATTTAGTTTTGTTGCATTCATGACCTTGTGATGACTAATGAAGGGTTTTAGGATGATATATAATTTGATATGAACAAGGTAATGCAAAGTTGATTATTTTGCAGTAAAGGAAATGTCTACTTCATTCACATATTTCCTCTCAAGCAACTAAGAGAACCACTTCTACTATTTTACTTAGGAACTTCATTCACATATGCTTTCTCAAGCTTATACACGGTTAATATTAACTTTGCTTGCGTGTAATTGTGTAACCTCTTCTTTAGGAGAGGTGTATCTACTGTAGCATTTTAGTATATCATGCAAACAAAAGCGAAAGTGATGCTTTCAGTTCTATTTGAATGGTGTGTAGAAGTTTATGAAAGAATGACCTCGCCCCTTTTATTTTCTCATTTCTGGGGCATAGTTTTGCATGTTCAAGGGTTGATTATATGATAACTCTTGTTTCAAATGGGGTGTTATGGCATGGGAAGCAGTCAATCCAAACTTGATAAGTCAAATCATTAATTTAGGAGAAAATTGTTGATTGCCTTGGCGATGATATTTATGCCTATTGCAACTTCACACTTCTTAAGCTTATGTTTGTGAAATATGTACCCGAAAATATTTAATACAAATGCATTTCATGTTTTCTATCCCAGAAGGTTAGACTTTTTTGAATTATAAAAAATAGTTTTTTCTCTTTCAATAGTTTGCTTTATTTTATTTTCATCATTATTCTATTATAGTTTCTTGATTGCTATCTCATCCCCACTTTGTCGAGCTCATGGTTGGTCTCCATACAAGTAGCACAAGCGAGAGTTCTATTCTCACATCATACTCTCATGCAACATGAAGTTTATTTGTTATTACATTGACAATGAGCAATTGTAAAGATCAGTGTTCGCAAAATCGAGCCAGAATGGTTAATCGGATATGGGTCTGAAAGCGGTTTAACCAACTGAATCAGTAAACCAGCCGATTCAACTACTCTAACCAGGCAAGTCCCAGATGGTTAAAAAAGTGTTGAAAAAAATAAAAAAGATACAAAAAAAATCTACTAAAATACAAAAAGCATATAAACAATGATTAAAACAAAACACACTCAAATGAAATTGAAAATTAATGAAAAAAATGATTTTAACGAATCGATTTGTGCCTAGGGCTATTTTAAAATTTGCTAAAAAAGATGGAAAAATATAAAAGTGAGTATTAATGACCAAAACAACTTTTAATCTTTACCATAATGTAAAGAATATTAAAACAGTGTTAAAAAAAACTGACTTGATTGACTGCTTTTTATTTTTAAAGAAAATGAAACACAATTACGTTATAGATAACATAGGCCCTCTTTTTTATGAGCCGAGTAGTAAATGGTGTATTGGTTAGTGTACCTAATATTAAAGGACCTCTTTATAAGAGATTTCTAGTTCAATTCTAGTGGGCGGGTATTTTTTTGAAGTCCAACGAAATGAAGTATTTTTTTGAACTCCAACGAAATGTTTTTGAAGTCCAAAGAAATGAAGTCTTAAAAAAATAAAACAACGAGATTCAAACCGTGATTGAGGTAGAACTTAATTGTCAAAGCTAACTAGTAAACCATTCTAATATATCTATTATGAATTTGAAGTAGTATTCTATTCTAATATATCTATTATGAATTTGAAGTAGTATTCTATTCTAATATATCTATTATAAATTTGAAGTAGTATTCTATTTAAAGTTTAAAATATTGGTTGATCACCAAAAACTCCCAAAATCAGAACCGGCCAGTGGCTAATATATCTGATATGAATTTGAAGTAGTATTTTATTTAAAGTTTAAAATACTGGTTGGTCACCAAAACGGCCCAAAACCGGAACCGGCCAGTGGCCGGTTCCGATCTAACTGGGCAGTTAGCAGTTAGATCGGTCGGTTTGACGAACACTAACATATACTATACAAATTATTTGTTTTGTCTAATTTTTTATGACTTTATGCACCAAACTAGATATAGAGACTCATGAACAATATAAGCTGCCTTGAATTAGTATGAAGGTCTTCGATATTCTTTTTGTAATGGGTATCCTTTCACAACAAGAAATATGTAACTTGGTGAATATTTTGTTCATCTTCTTGTATGTATTTCCTTTCTATTAAGATGCTAGCATGTATTACATAAGCTTTTCCATTTGATGTGTTTGATAACAAACAACTCTCACATGGCTTATGCAGGATTGTGGACAGCCTGGATTTACCATTGCTGAAAGGCAGCGGTTCTCTACTATATTGTCAGAGTAGGTGATTTGTACTTATAAAATTACTTAGGGGTTAGAAAATTCAGTGTCCTGACATTATACTCATTGCTGCATGATGTATCTTTTGAAAAAGTGAAATGCATTTAAAAATAAAAAAAATCAGATTGGTTTATCGATCCGTTCAAGTGGTCCAACGGCCTCACTTTGCTAGCCAAACCCATTTTATTAGGAGATTCGTGACCTTGTAAAGTTGAAACTATCGTTGATGAGTCATAGTCTTTCCATTTCTTTCCAGAAATGAATGGAATATTTGTTTATTGACAAAGGGCCCTTGCAATTATTGGCTAGTATCTACAAATATTACTCCTTAAGAATATTACTCCTCAAGGATAGTATCTACAAATATTATTTCTTAATTATATTGGCTAGTATCTACAAATATTACTCCTTAAGAATAGTTTTCCTATTTGTTGGTGAACTTACATTTTTGCGCGTGTGTCCGTTGCTTGTGTGTGTGTGGGGCCGGGGGGGGGGGGGGCGTTCAACTTACAAATAGTAGTTGTGATTACCATGCTTACGGCAATTATTCATTTACAGGGGAAAACTGCTGGATGCTTATAGGTTTCTTCACAAAGAACAAGATCTAGAGGGGGGCTTCTCTTGGTCGGGGAACCCAGTTGACAAGTAGGCCAATATACTCGTTTTTTGAGATTTAAAATGTTCAAATTTTATTTTCATTGCTCATTTTATTTTTTTTAAACTTGCAATTGGTTTTTCATATGGGAAGTATGGGATGGACTGCAACCGACAGTGAGAGGCTTCATGCTCTGGACCACTAGGCTACATCGTTCATAACATAGCCCCCATTTGAAACTCACCAATTAGTGGTAGTGGGAAGAAACACAGTTTCTCCAAGGAAGGACTCAAAAGCTATCCAAATGTTTTCTCTCTGACAAGTCACTGAAAAAGAAGAAAGAGAGGAGTTTTCCCAAATCAATAAACCATGAATTAGATGAATTGATTAAAATTTTCTATTTGCTATCATTTTGCAGATACAAGGGGAAGAGGATGAGGATAGACTACTTTTTAGTCTCTGAGAAACCCGAAGACAAGCTTGTTGCTTGTGAAATTTATGGGAAAGGGATTGAAATAGAAGGTATCTCATAAGAATTTCACTTATCTACTCTGTTATTCTTGAAATATTTTGGGAGCTCAAATACCTTCTAAAATCTGAACCATCCATGCAAAGTTTTTTTTCATGCATTTGCAAATCACTACCCTTAAAATAATGCATACAATCCTCTAGATGGTCTAGACCAGTTTGTTTGATGTAATCGGAATATCTGTACTGTCCATGCAGATTATAGTATGCTATATGGTACTCCAACTCTCCAAGCGACATCCAACATCTCCCCTCACTGATGGACAATTGGATATTAACTTTACTTGAGTGAACGCTCATGTTGGTCCCCATGGCATTTAGTCTAATTTTTTGGTGATGGTGGATGTCGCCTCGGACTACCATGTACCATATTTCAAATGACTGTGGAATAGTCTCCTAGTTAGAATGGTGGTGCAATTGTTGTGCATAAAACAACAAATATAAGCAGTTGAATTGCTTCCAGGGTTCAATGGCAGCAATGACTGCCTGGTTTCACTCGAGTTGTCCCTGTCAATGAGGCCAATGGGGTTTAAATATATGCACAAATACAAGTTCCTCTTAGGATTGTGGCATCTGAAACCAGTAGAGAAAAATATGCCATGTTGGATGGCAAGGAGAAGATGATTACTCTCTCTCTTAATTTGAGGGCATGTTTCAATTAGATATGTCACACCCCAGGTTTTATAATACTAACATTCTTGAGGTGTGACATTTTATCTTTAACAAAATTAAAATTTCTTCTATATATTGCACAAGACTGTTTGATTTTCTTTTTAGAAATTTTCAAATATATACAAAGTCTACTTAGAACTTATACTAACATGAAGGTCCATATATATACATTTTTTATAAGACAAAAATTACACCAGTAAGTTTAACTATGACTACAAACTTTTTGTAAGCTTAAATGTGACTACAAACTTCTCCATAGCTACTTTTGTTTACTTTCGAACAATAAGGCTGCAATTTATTCTAAAAAGAATTCACAATAGTTTGATGAGTTTGGCTACTCAGTAAGTGACCATCATAATCCTTAAAAATAATCATGGTTGGCAAATGTAGATATTTTCTAAAAAAATACATATTGAAATAATATGAGGAAAGGCATACAATGATAAATGTTCCGAATTCTTCAACAGAAATACACAGTTTTAACGTAATTTCAAAGATTTGAATTACATATTGAACAATATGAAGAAGAACACATTTTAACATAATTCAAAAGATTTCACAAGTACCCTACTAGCGTCCCAAGTAGGTCACCTATATACCCCACCAATGTCCTGGATGGGTCCACTTAATCCCTATCAGCGTACTAGGTAGATCCACTCATACCTCACCGACACACCGGATGAGTCTACTTAATCCCTACCAACATACCGAATAGGTTCACTTATAGTACCAGATGAGTCAACTTAATCCCTATCAGCATACCGGATAGGTCCACTTATACCTCACTGGCATACCAGATGGCCTGCTTGGGTTTTTCTATTTAAAATTTGAGATCCACCTTATAATCAACAAATATAGGTGTTAGGGGGAATTGGGTTTGGACCTATACCATCCTAAAACTAGTTTGGTCCTAACCGATTTGCATCCAAATTGACAGTAGGCAATCCAGGGTTTTAAAACACAAGCTCGTTCCAATGCCAGGTTTAAAAACACAAGCTCGTTCCAATGCCAGGTTTTAAAACACAAGCTCGTTCCAATGAATAAAAGTGTGACATGTCTTACCACTAACCTCTATTGTCATCTAAACACAATTTTGGGATTTAAATAAGTAAAAACATGTCCTCACCTTGTTGGTCCAAATTGTTCATTTGGAAGTGTGTCCTTGAGCGCTTTAAACTCTCAAATCCTGCTTGTCAAACAATAAGTATAGGAAAACTAAATTGAGACCTCAAAAGGAAAGAGAAAATTGATGCAGCTCAAAAGTACCCACAACAATTTGATTTTGAGCTCAAAGTTACCTCACATAAAGACTGAATTTGGATTTGGGGAGCTTTAAGCACTTTTTGTTTCTTCTAAAAATTGTTATTAGGATGAACCAAAGATTAGCAAAAAGTTTAAGGTCACACAAATCTCCTACGTAGGTAAACTAGCTGTAGGTTCACATGTACAATTTGGACGTGAGGGCCGGGCCCCATCAAACACACGCCTATTTCGGTACTTGAATATGGCCATCACCGTCGCTTTTTCCCTTGAACAATGATATGGTAGAGGGTGTCCTACTAAACATATCATTGCACAAGTCTCTGGACTGCACACATGATACCGTCCAACAACATGCTTGGCAATGATTATCTTGTAATCGTGCTTTTTAAGTGCCGAAGTATAATTTTTTCTTAGGGAAAAGTTTATATAGAGCTGAGGCTTTAAACATTCAAATTAGAGTCTATCACAAAAATTTCACTAGAAGAGATTATTTGGATGTTCAAATATCTCAAATTGATCATCTCACATAAAGATGCATGGAGATGAGAAAAAATGGATTTCAAGTTTTGAAAATAGTATATTTTGTAAAACATTTTTGGACCTTCAATTTTCAAGATTTCAAGTTTTCATGGATCTGTCCATTCACACTATTTTTTAAGCTTTAAACTTTATAAATAAAGATGAAAATATATTTTAAGGCTATTACAAAGATTTCTAGTATTGAAACCGCATTTTTTACACAATTTGAAGGTAGGCCCTCATTTGATTATTTAGAGCATAGGCTCTATATGAGCCGCACCCTTTTTCTTATTAGGAAACAATTTATATAATGTTTATACATTAGATGTAAAGTGAATCTTAAAAATCCAAAAGAGTGTCCCAAAGTTAGAAAATATTCCAATTAATCATATAGACCAATGGTTTAAAAAGCGGATCGGTGACCCAGATCGAGCACCTCAAAAACCGATCCGGATTGGGAATCGGGTGAATCGGTCAGATTAAAGCTTCAAAATAATTCGAAAAAATTATTAAAATTCATTATAAATATTGTTTTTTAGGAATTCCATAAAAATAAGGGTACTCCATTAAGAATTTTCATTTCTTTGCATGAATATGCGAATATTGATATGTTCTTTCCCTGCATGAACTATTATTTACCATTTAATTTATGTCACACAAAAGGATAAACATAGAATTATCATGGCATACGTATATCAACATACATGGACTACAATAAAGCATACAATTAGTAACATATGATCTAAAAATAAAATGACAGACGACGTCGTTCTTCTTCTTGGTCACGCTGGTGCCATTGATTGAATTCGTTTGGCAATTCATTGATTCGCTCTAAAAACGAATCATCGATATTAGTAGATGTCTGACTATATCCAAATCCCTGAGTGTTAGTGTTCGGTTGTGTTCCCAATCCAAAATCCCCAAAGCTTGTCCATCCTTCATGCTCACCTACACTGTCGTGCTCATCCCTACCATGTTGTTGTTAGGACTTGATATGTGAATAATATGGCTGGGATAGGGTGGCCTTGGAATCATCATCTCTCTCATTTTCCCTTAGACCCCCTTTCTACTCTCCCTCATTAGGTGCAATATCACCGACATCTCCGATGAATTGTGGATACGTTGACTGACTGCTTCCTCTTTCAAGCTGCTCATCACCTTCTTCAAGATCTTCCTCACCGATAGCCTCAAGGAATGCAATCTTGTGCAACACTGACTCCTCCTCTTCTACTATACATTGGTCTGTTGTGTCTGTGACAAATATTGTGCCTAAGTCTATCGGTCCATAGTCTTCAAGCTTCCTTCTTATTTGTCGCTCTCGGAGGTTTAAGTTGTAATGAACGTAGACTGGTTTATGAAGCTTCTCCGAAGCGAGTCGATTTCTCTTAGTAGTGTGCAACCATTGGAACGTACTCCAGTTGCACTCACAGCCAGTAGCAGAACATGTTTGGGAGAGCACCTTGATTGCTATCCTCTTTAGGTGAGGTGCATTAGTACCATATATCTCCCACCATTCCGCTGTATTAAAATGCAAAAAGCATTGTAAGGGCAAAAACAATTCATAAGATTAAATATATGAATGAACAAAATATTAGCTAGGGGATAACCTGGATCCATCTTAGTTCGAGAATTCTTGGTAAGTCTAGTTTCGACGGATCCTATAGCATCCTTATACATAGCAAGCTAAAACAAATATATTTCGTTTTAGTGCATTATTCCCTACAAATATAACAACTTAATAAAGTTCTTACCCAAACATTAAATAATACCTCTTGTATTGCTTCTACTTGGTTTCGCTGGCTTCTCTCCAACCTTGCAATAATGTATATGACCCCTTCCATAATCTTGTAGGGATGTTCAAGTGTCAATTGAAAATTTTTGAGCTGAAGTAGTAACCTATAAAATATATAGATAGAAAAATGTCATTTACAATTTCATAAAAAAATGATTTAAAATGAAACATTCTAATGATATAAATATATATTTACCAGCATAATGAATTGGATGTCCAAATTTGGTGTTCCACCTGCGTTCTATGATCTCGATCACTTTGCTAGCAAAACTACACTTCTCCCCAATAGCTAATTTTGCTCTTTCAATACATTCATAAAGGATGCCCATGGTAGCTTTCTTGTCAGCATCCACTATTCTTAACACCGTGACCAAATGGGCAGTGGCCTCTACAACACTGAAACATCGAAAACAGAACGTCCTATTTGAGACTATGCCGTCCACTTTTATACCGGTACTGGACTTCAAGAGGCGGTCATTTAACCACTCTTCACAGGTAAACTATCTCTTTCATGCACTTTCAGATTCCCGAATGGAGTCCACAGCTAAGTAATCGATCGCAAAGCGGGTTATGACAGGCCTGATTATCTTTTTTTGCTTAAGAATGTTCTCTAAACAGAAATAATATTTTAGAGTGGTTGTATATAAATCTCGACACCAACCTTGCTTCCTTTAGAGTCTCCTTCACAATTTTGATCTCACCGATCTCCTCTAACATAAGATTGATGCTGTGTGCAGCACACGGGGTCCATAGTAGATGCTTCATCTTATCCATCAACTTGCTGCCCGCAGAAACACATGCATGCGCATTGTTTGTAATAAATTGGACTACATGCTTATCTTCTACCTCCTCCACTATCTGGTCATATAGTCGTACGTAGAAGTTTGCATCCTTCTTCGTTCTTGATACGTCTTTGCTAGACAAAAGGGCTATACCTTTTGGGGAATAGGCCAAGAAGTTTGAAAACTCCTGTTTGTTAACTTTATTCAACCAATCATCACTCATGAGAGTAATGCCTGTCCGTGGCCAACTCCGTTTATATTCTTCAATCCACTTTGTAACTTCCTCCACCTCTTCATCTAATATTGGTCCCCTGAGCTCATATGTCGTCAGGGGTTTTACTCCAGGCCCGGCTTTCTGGATTGGCACTGACCATAGGTGAAAAGTATGAACTATTAACTGCATCAAAGGGAATCCCTGTATCGTATAACCATTTACTAACATATCTTTCCAACATGTTTCTTATACCTTTAATCATGCCTTTTAGGGTCATTTGTTGTGACTTAGGTTTTGAGAGAAATGGGTCTATACGACTATGACTTGTAATATTGGCACTCCTAGATAAGCTAGAAACTATTTCTTCAACGTTTGATTCTTGTTGACACATACTGCTACCAACTCCTCTATACATATTTGAGCTGGGGCCGCCATACATGCTCGACCTGGGCTCACCATGCATGTTTAAGTTGGGTCCGCCATACATGTCTGAGCTAGACCCACCATGCATGTCTGAGCTAGACCCACCGGGCATTCTAAACCCACGTTCCCTCTGATATTGTTCATGTAAACTCATTCTTGTGGCCATGTCCAGGTCATTATCATATTGTTCTTCTAGGTCATTATTATATTGCTCTTCTGTATCATTCCTGCGTGATGGCGTATATAAACTAGCTATCTCCTCATTCATCCTATATTTGGCAATTTTTTTACCTTTGTTAGCATTAAGAAATGTCGCCATCTGTTTTTTTAAATTACTAAGGACACTACTGCATGCAGAAACATCTCTCCTAACCCCTGCCAAGTGTTGCTTGAACCTATGTACCCCACTACTTATCACTTTTTTATAGTAATTATAAATAATTTTATCTTTTTTGTTGGGATCAAGTCTGACCCCATGTTGTCGTGGAGGGTCTTCTACAGATATTGACATGATTCAACTGTTTTAATATGTAAAAAGTTAAAAATTAACCTGACAGTTCAACAAGGAAAATAATCACCATGTGTAGTGATAATATGTTGGGGTAGTTTATGTAGTTATATTTGTTGTTATTTGTTATTGCAAAATACTTCTATTTCGTACATATCAATTACAAACATACTAGATAATATAATACAAACTGCAAGCTCCAAACATGGCTACAACTCAATTATCAAGAACATACATTTTTTGTATTAAAAAGTTAATAATAAAATTGAAAAAATGCAGGATAATATAATTATCATATATGCCACGATTTTTTTACAATGATATGCACTTTAATTCCTCATGATAATACAATTTAACAACATGTATTTTTTGTGTTCAAAATTTTAAAAATTGAAAATACATTTTTAATGCAAAACTACATTAAAAATATAATACAGTTTTCCATTAGAAATATAATAACATGTATGTTTTTTGCATAAATATTCTATCAACATGCAATTTTTTCAACAAAAACTTTAACAATAAAAATTAAAAATATGGTTTAATACCTCATGATAATCAAAACCTGGTCACTATTTTCACATCTCTTCGAAAAATACTAAAAAAAAAAAACAAATAAAAACAATTCTTCACAGAGCCACCTAACATCAGTCATTTCAACTAAAAAATGCATTAACAACAAATTAAAAAAATACAGTTTTGCATAAAAAATATAATAACATGCATTTTTTTGCATAAATAATCTATCAACATACAAAATTTTCAACAAAAACTTTAACAATAAAAATTAAAAATATGGTTTAATACCCCATGATAATCATGATAATCAAAACCTGGTCACGATTTTCACATCTTTTAGGAAAATCATCAGGTTTCAAAAAATTCGATCATGGATAAAAAAAAAAAAAAGTGACAGCAAACTCAAACAATAAAAATTAAAATATAACATGATAATCAAAACCTTGTCACAATTTTCACATCTTTTCAAAAAATCATCATTTTTCAAAAAATTCGATCATGGATAAAAAAAAAAAAAAAAGTACAACAAATTTTTAAAAAATTCAATCATGGATTACGAAAAATTCGATCATGGATTATGGATTACAAAAAATTCGATTATGGATTACAAAAAGCTTCGATCATGGATTACAAATAATTCGATCGTGGATTACAAATAATTGGATCATGGATTAACAAAAAAAAAAAAAAACAAACAAATTTTTAAAAAATTCGATCATGGATTACAAAAAAAACAAAAACAAAAAATTCGATCATGGATTACAAAAAAAAAAAAATTAAAAAAATTCGATCATGGATTACAAAAAAAAAAAACCAAAAAATTCGATCATGGATTACAAAAAAAGGAAAAAAAAACAATTGGATCATGGATTACAAAAAAAAAAAACAATTCGATCATGGATTACAAAAAATTCGATCATGGATTACAAAAAAAAAAAAAAATTTCTTCACAAAGCCACCTTTTATCAGCCATTTTAACTAAAAAATCCACCTCCAAGCGAATAAATTACATCCAATTGAGTACATTTTTTGATAAATAACAATATAAAGAATCAAAACCCTAAATTATGAACACATTATCATCAATAAATCAAATCAAATCGATTAAATTGAGCAAAAAAAAAAAAACGCAGTTCTTCACAAACTACAGTCATTGAATCTAAAAAATGAAGCTCAAATTGAATAAATCAGATCAAATTGAATACATCTGATTATAAACAAGACAATAACGATTAAAAATCCTAGAAATCTAACACATTATTTGTAATATATCATGAACAAAAACTCGAAAGGCAGAAAAAAAAAAAAAAACAGCAGAAATTTTTTTCACAAACATCACTGTGTTCATCTAAAAAATCAGGCTGTAATTGAGTAAATTAAATAAAATTGAATATGGTAACTGATAAAAGACACGATAAAGATTTAAAACCCTACAAATGTAACTCATTATTTTCAAAATATGGACTGAAATTGATCAAATGGCGGAAAAAAAAAAAAAACCCGTGGCTTCAATCTCCAAATTACTCTGTTTTTCTCAAAGATTATCACAAAATCGTAAGAGAATTTTTCGATAAACACATTTACGATCATGCCCTATTTTCACAGATTCATGCCCTATTTTTACAGATTCATGCCCTATTTTCACAGATTCATGCCCTATTTTCACAGATTCATGCCCTATTTGGCAAGAAACAAAAGGAAAGGTGGAAACCCTAAAATCGCAACTTTCATGATCCAAAAGCACGAAATTTCTCCACAATTTAATCCATGAAAAGGCTGAAAAAAGCTGCATAAAGCCTGAATATTCGATCACATGACAAAAAAAATAAGAAAAATGATAAAAAAAAATGACAAATTTTGAAGAATCTCGTGAAGAACACTGTGCAGCCCGTGTTCTTCACGGGACTGGCCGATTCTGTATAGTGAATCGGCGAGTCAATGTACAGAATCGTCCTGTTCTCTCTGGAACGGGGCGATTCTTTGTAATTTGCAGGAACCGGCGCTCCAGTGCCGATTCTTGAGTCGAACCGGGCGAGTCCGATTCCACTCGGCATTTTTTTAACACTGATATAGACTATATATATATATAAGAATTTCAAAACCTAAAAATAGTGCATCTTGAAACAAGGTATCTGGACCGTCAAATTTTCGTAACTTTCAAGTGTTTATAGCGTTACTTGATCTCCAACAATTTTGAAATTTTAAATTTCATAAGTGCAGTTGAATATAGATTTTCATGCTATTTTAGGATTTTGACACTAAAACTATGTCTTCCAGCAAAATTTAAAGATCGGCCTTACTTGTATAGTATAAGGTGGGGCACCTTATACAAAGTTACAAACCTCACGTTATTATTCGTAGCGGTGTTCTAAAACCCGAATCGATAGGGCGGATTGTTCACCCACAGATGCATGTTGGATAGTTGGATCGGTAATCTGGATCAGGTCTAGATCGGGCTGAATTGGTGATCCATAAAATAGTTTAAAATAAAAAAATAAAAAATATAGGCTTATGGGATGTGGATTTAGAGGAGATCTATTTTTTTTTTTTAGTACTTTAGAAAAAAGGAAATAATCTAGGATCTACTTTTATATATAATGCCGAGACTTTATGAAAACAAAGTAAAGCGTCACCTTAAATTCTCATCTAGAAAATACTCTGGGCATTGAAAAATTTCATGGTAGCTCCAAAATCAATTTTCAACACTGACTATCAATTTTGAAGTTAAAAAAATGAAACAAATCTTGTGGATCCATAAACACTTATTTACAAAATGGAGATAATGTGTTATAATATATACTATTTTTACAACTTGAAATCTTAATTTCTTTTCACAACCACAATCAAAGACGAGATGATTAATTTCGAAGTGAGGCTTTGTTTATTTTAATATGACTCTAACCCTATCAAACCATTTTATAAAAGGAAAATTGTTTCATGCAGGTCTGCATTGGTACAATATGTGGTCCAAAGGTATAAAGCATCCATCTTAAAGATGGATGCAAATAGATAATCCATCTAAAAGCAAGTGTAACTAAGGGTCCAAATGTTATTTTAATACAATTATTATTCTTAGTTTTCAATATTTTTTTTCCATATTCTTGATCTCCATGTTAAGAATTATATATTGTATTTAAAAAATATATTATTTGCCAAGTCTTCATTTCTACAATATGCGGCTGGCCCCAAAAAATCCACAAAAATTCTGTGCCCTTTGTAAAAATGTATAATGGTAGTTTTAGGGGTAACCCGGTCAGAACTCTGACCCATTCCGTTCATGAGTTGGTGAGTCCTGAGTCCTCCTGCTGACCAATTTCCATCCAATCGGCGATTTAAATCGGATATCATGACCTTAAAAACTCGAAGCGAGAGAGGGAATACGTGAAATCGAAAGGGCCATTTAAACACTCTCTCTCTCTCTCTCTCTCTCTCTCTCTCTCCCTGATTTATGAGAAGCTCGCGCCAATTCCAGGTATGGTCTTCCCTCTCTCTGATTTATGAGAAGCTCGTGCCAATTCCAGGTATGGTCTTCCGAATTATACTGTGAAATTTCAAGCTATTGTGTATTTCCTTTTAGAAATTCATTCTGATCAGTAGATCTCTAATTTTGAAGCTTGTTTCTGGGAAACATATGCTGCTGATTTTTTGCTATTGTTCTCCTGACAATCAATTGAAATTCGATAAATGTAGATAAAATGTAATGCTGCAACACTATACCATTTCGAAAATTTATTATGTCTCTTTCTTCATTCCGTTGATTGATTGATGCATTTGTCTCTGCGATAATGTCTTCATGGATCGTGTAAAGTCATCTGGAATTCATTCTATGTGAAATTAAACATATTAATTTTGTTGTTTAAGCATCCGGCTGTTGTTTTGATCACACACACTCACGCATTCTCTCTCTCTCTATACAACCACTCTTCCTCTCTCTCTCTTCCCCTCCTGAAACGCATGGGTACTAGGTTTGTCATTTGAAAATGATTTAAGTCTTACAGTGTCCAGAATTAATGGGAACTGGACAACCCAAAATCTTAAATTTTGTAATTAATTACTTGTTAATGTAATGTTTTTTTTCGTATTAGATCTCCCATGTTGAGTTATGACCTAATGGATGGGTTTTATTGGCTATGATATTGAGCTATACAATCAAAAGGAGTTATATTGTTAAGTCAGCTGAAGTCCTTACTTTATCTCTAGGCAATATCATGGAAAAAAATGGTGTAGTTTGCTGTCAGAATATGGAAAAACTTCTACTGCTGTTGTTATTTAAAGATGGGTGAAAACCTTTTTGTTTAATAACCTAACAGTTTGATGATGATGATGATGGTGATGATGATGAACTAACAGTTTGTTGTTGATCATCTTTTTGCCTTTTCTTGACCAATACCTTATCTAAAAATGTTGGGGAGGAAATTCGGTTCGCTGAAGTTTTCATATACTCTTGTTCCTTAGATAGACATGACTTTTCCATTAGATAGAATAGCATAAGACCAAATATTTTCTGTAGCTTATTTCCTTTGTTTTGATTGTTCATCTGAATCAGTCCCATAGATAGGCCTCAATCGGTGGTGAAATTCAATTGGTGGTGAAATTCAATTGGTGGTGAAATTTGAATATCATGGTGTTCACTGAATATGTCATGAAATTTCTGAGAAATTTGAATTATCATGAATTTTCTCAAAACCTTCAATGCCAATTCTTTTCATTTTCTATTGAAGATTATTCTAAGTTTATTGGCTTAATTTAAGGATTCCATGGTCACTAATGAAACTGGAGTGTCATGCTCATCTAATTTTTTTTTTTTATTGCATATTTCTTATATCAAAATGTTTTTTTCCTTATGCATGCGAAATATATCGCATTAAATTGCTAATGCTCTGAAATATACAGCAATCAGGTGATATTCTGATGGAAGATCTAGGCATAGAAGCGAAAGAAGCTGCTGTACGTGAAGTGGCAAAGTTATTGCCTCTTCCTGAACTTTTGTCTTCGATTGCTTCTCTAAAAGCAGATTATGTTCTTCGTCAGCAGGTATGGAATTTCCTTCCCTTGCCAGATTATGGATTGCTCTGAGAATGTCATCTGAGTAATTATGTACTCATGTTGAAGCACAAGTCCTATTCTACTTTGGAAGTAGAACACAGAGAGAACATGGATTATTAGAATTGCTTCCATATCTATATTCAATCATTCAGATTGGAAATCGTGACGAACAATTTTCTGTTTCCAATTTTGAACGATTCAATTATTTGTTTTGTGGATGAAATGATGTTCTTTAGGCTAATTTCAGTTGCATATTTGTGTTTACTCCTACATAAATGAATTAATGAAATGAGAATTATAATAGGATATGGCTTAAAGGGTGATGAGGGGTTCACAATATTATCAATGTGTTAGTGTACGGTGGCATTTGTCCAATTCCAGTTTAGATATTTACATGGCATTTCGCTGCATGTTGAACCTCCCCCATGTATAGTGTATTCTCGTACTAGTGATTTCAAGGAAATTTTGTAAAATTAATTTCTATATCTGTAAGGTGTATTCTGAGCATCTTTTTCAGATCCTCTATGTATTCTAAATCAAGTTCTTTATCATTTCTCTCAGGCAAATGATGCACAACTGAGCACCATTGTTGCAGATCAGGTATTGCTTCTTCCCATAACTTATATCATACTTAGGTTTCCCTTTGTAAGCCTACATGGATCTGCTTCATTACATATTTAAGGAACTTTTCAAACATCTGTTGTAGGAATTAATTGCAAAAAACTTCGTTCTGAGTCTTTCTGACCTAAAATATTAGCTTATGCTCGCTTAGTTATACCATGCATTCAGGTTGAGCAAGGGCAAGCTGGGATAGATGCATTGTCCTTATCACAGAAGACAATAAACCAGCTCCGTGAAAATTTTTTGTCCATTGACAAGTATGCTATAAGCTCAAATTCACATATAGTGCCGATTTGTTTCCATGTCTTGTATTATTGCATATATTATGCATTATTCTCAGTTCTGGTTTTAGATCTGTTGCTACCCAAATGTAATTGACTTCCTATCACCCTCTCCCCTCATGTCTCCACAAAATGAACTTGTTTTGTTGCAGTGTGCTGTTTCCTTAGTGCTTTTGTTTTTTTTCTGCAGGTTGTGTCAAGAGTGTCAAACTCTAATTGATAACCATGATCAAATAAAGCTCCTCAGCAATGCGAGGAACAATTTGAACACAACCCTAAAGGTGGTTTCTTGACTTTTTTGAATATTTTATTCCAGACACTTCCTATTAAAAACCCCTCTAGAAGCATTTTTGTTTATTGTTGATATTAAGAGCACTATATAGGTGTAATGATGGATGGTCTGATATGCAGTATTTTTGGAGACTTTCATTGTTGACCGTGGAAGTAACAATATTTTGCTGTGAAAACAAAGCTTGGAAATTATGCCTAAATTAACTTATCTGAAGAAAAAAAGGAACCTTGTGCATAAATCATGAATGTAGCTGCTGAAAGTTGGAATCAGATCTGGACCTCTAGCAGTCCTTTTTCCTAAAAGACTACTTTTCCCTCAGTCAGGTGGTTAGCATACCAAACAGAAGTGTTTTTAAATAAAAAATTCGTGAAATAGTTTTTTGAAATTCCATGTTTGAGGGTCCCCTGCATGATTTATGGAGGTGGTTCAGGCACTGTTCGGATTTTGTCCCTAGTTATTATGGGTTGTTGATCTGTTCATCACCCACTCACTTTTTTATAGGATGTAGAAGGGATGATGTCAATATCTGTTGATGCTGCTGAAGCAAGAGAATCTTTGAATGATGATAAAGAGCTCATTCACACATTTGAGGTATTCTCAATGCTCATTTTCTTTTTACTATGATCACTCACGGAAATGAAGTCCTCACTGAGGGCAGACCAGGATTCATGTAGCCGACCCCAAATAGGTGGGAAAGGGCTCTGATGATGATGATGATGACGACTCATGGAATTGAAGTCATGTTTTTTGTTTTTACTGAGTTTACAGTTATTGTTTGCATGCTGCTGAAAAGTATGTCTGACTTGTACTTCTTGCTAAATATTCTGAAAGAGGTTGACTGCACTTGATGGTAAGCGGAGGTTTGCATTAGCTGCTGCATCATCTCACAAGGAAGAAGTTGGCAGGCTAAGGTTCGCAGTTGCACAGCCCTCACCATCCATTTTGTATTATTTTAAAATTTGTCCAGAGGTTTTCAAGCAAAATCTTTCAGCCATGGATATGGCACTTTCAACTGGAGATGCTCCTTGTATTAGTATTTTATTTACTTTGGTGGTTTGCTGTGGTAGTTTGTTTACTTAATGCGATATATTCTGAAATAAATCCACCTGCTCCTTGTATGTTTATTTGACACATCTATTAGCTACTTGGATTGCTTTCTTTGCTGTCTATAATGGGATTAGAATGTGAATGAGAAAGCTGTTCCTGTCTCCTTAGGGTACCAGTTGTGCAATAAGTTTAGTACGATCCAATTTTTCCTATTTTCAGGCTTAAACAAAATGGCAATGACTTTTTCAAGTGTTTGTTTTTTTGGTTGTTTGGTATGTTTCATAAAAATATTAAAAATTTTGAATGGTTTGTTCTGATTTCTTTTCTGCTTGCCTATCAGATGGGTTATCGTCCTAGATGATGGTATTCCCATAATTTCTTGTAGGATTCATAGCTAGTGCATTTAAAAAAATGAACCTTTGTCCCACTTTCGTAACCTTATTATGTTGAAATGATGTCAGATTTTGTAGATAATGAAAAACAGAAGTAGTAGATGTCAAGATGGCCATACAACTTAAGGGGGGAATAAAAGGAAATGGAATAGAGCTGCACCCCATGCCATCTTAGCCAAGGCATCTTCCACCTCATTAGCACTGCGAGACGCATGGTGGAACCTAACTTGCGCAAAGCCAAAATCGCATAATTCCCTAAATTCACTCACAAGTGGCTAACCTCCCAACTCACCGTTGCTTCATTACTAACTCAGTGAATCACATATGATTCATCTCCTTCTACTATCAGTGGGACCCATACTTTCCTAGTTGTAATTTTGTCTTCCTCAAGCCATGCCTGTGTTTCAGCCATGGTGAACTGCCAAACGCTTGTGGGCCTCTGCATATTATCAAATTTTTTTTTTTGTTTTTTCGTTAATATCAATATTTTGGTTTTTGGAAATTTCATTTGCAAACTTAACAATGTGCTGTTGACTAGTGTTATTTTCTATAATTATCATATACAATTGGTTGTATAGTTACCTTGAAAAGCATGAGTCTAATAATGAGTAGGCATGAGTCAGGCCCATGAGGGTTTTCCCAGTGGACGTGATTCCCTCCTTAGCCAAGGATTTTTGAACCTCATTTACCTTCTCATGAACACATGAAAAGTTCTAACATATCACTTAGCTCAATAATCTCATTGAGTATATGTTAATCTTCAAGACTAAACATTATCCCGTCAGCCCTTCTGGTGACATTTATTGAGTGACTCGGTGATTGAACGGCCCAAGAAATGCTGATGAAATACTTTAAGGTAACAAGAGGTCTTGCCTTTGCCTCCATTGAATCACTGGGTGGCAGTCAAGCAAAGACCTTGAAGACCTTATGATCATAGCCCCTAATGATGCTACTAATCTAATTATCAAAAAAAAAAAGAAACCTAGAAAGCCCAAGGTTCCCCCATCAAAGTTATAAGTGGTGTTTCAAAAAGCGGACCGCCCAACGCCTAAGCTGCTGCCTTGTGGATATCCCTGGGCGTCTGCCTGAACTCGCCTTAGCGGCCGCTTGGGGCCGAAATGCGGCTTGTTGAGGGCATTTTTGGATCATTTTTTTAATACTAAAGGGGCAAAATTGTGGGTTTTAGGTTCATTTGAAGCACTGGTTATAAGTTTTTGAAACGCTGATTATAAGTTTGATAGTTGAGTGGCTGGGTGGAAAGGGAAATTCCTCTCTCCTGCAGGCAGATTAACACTTATTAAGGCCACCCTAGCAACCACTCCCCTTTTTCTTATGTCCCTCTTCCGTATGCCTGCATCGGTCCAAGCTTGTTTAGAAAGGCTCATGAGAAGCTTTCTATGGTCAGGGGAGGTAGGCTGCAAATTCCACCTTCTCTCATGGGCAAAAGTATGCACTCGTAAGCCTCAAGGGGGTCTCGGTATCAGAAGCCTAAGATCCACTAACCTAGCTTTGCTTGGAAAATGGTGGCGGCATCTTGCTACCCAAGAAACATCCCTTTGGAGAGAAGTTGTTTCCCATAAATATTGCAGCGATGACCATTTCTAGTTACCTTCTTGTTGCACTAGTGGCCACCTTTCAGGTTATTGGAGATCCAACTTGAGTTGTCGAGACTTCCTTTTAGAGAAGGTGCGTTTTCATCCCAGAAATGGCAACAGAGTCCTCTTTTGGATAGACACTTGGGTAGGGGAGCAACCCCTGAAGGATCAGTTCCAGTCCCTCTTCAGAATTGCAGTTCATCCCTTCGCCACAGTAACCGATATTTTCTCTTCCTTGGGGACTTTTAGAGCTTGCATGTTTCAAAACATGGACCGCCCCGCGCCTAGGTGGATAGGCTTAGGCGCATCCCCCCCGCCTAGGCGGACCGCCCAAGGCCTACGCCTTGCCAAAGGGCGGAAACGATTTTTTTTAGGGTTCTTTTGGGTTTTTTTAGAAAACATTTGAGAGTGGGTTTTAGGTATTTGAAACCTAAAGCCACAAGAACCAATTTTAGAGAGAGAAAAACCTAAAAAAAATTAGATTTTGTGATTTTCATTGGATCAAAGTGTTTTTCAAAGTTATGAAAAATGGATCCAAACATCGCCCATCAATAGTAGATTTAGTTTTGGAGTTTTTTTAATCCTATTAGAGGGTGTTTTTGAATTTTTTAGCACCAAAAAACAGCTCAGAGGTGGAAGTTTGGAGTTCGAGCAATCAAAGTAAGTGCAAAACTTTATTTTTTAGATTGGTTGTTTTATTTTGAGATGTCTTCTTCAGGATATAGTCGAAGTGGAGATCCGGGTTGAAATATGGATATAACCTGAATGACAAAAATTGCATAAGATGCAATTATTGTGAAAAAGATACAAAAGGGGGAATAAATCGCTTTGAGAAATAACTTTCCAGTATTAAGGGGGATGTTGCCCTTTCAAAAATGTTCATGAAGCTATCAGAGAGGAGATTAAGCAATATATGAGTTCTGTAAAATACAAACATGAACAAAATCTTTGTCATTTGAATATGTCTATTTCTGGATCTGCTAGAAGAAGTGATCCGGGTTGGAACTATGGTCATAATCGGAAACGAAACAACTAAAATTATATAAGGTGTAATTTTTGTGAAAAAGATGCCAATGGGGGTATTAACTGATTCAAGAAATACCTTGCCGGTATTAAAGGGAATGTTGCTTCTTGTAAAAAGGTTCCTGAAGCTATTCGGGATGAGATTAGATAATTTTTGAATTTAAGAGAACTGAAAAAGGATGAAAATGAGGTTTGTTCTATGAAAATATCTTCTTCAGGTTCTTCTAGAATTGGTGATCCGGGTTGGAAGTGTGGTTATAACCCGAATCCGAATGACAAAAATCTTATTAAATGTAATTATTGTGGAAAGGATACTAATTCGGGGTATTTATCGGTTCAAAAGACACCTTACCGGTATTAAGGGGGATGTTGCCCCGTGCAAAAATTTTCCTGAGGCTACTAGGGAGGAGATTATACAATATTTGAGTTCAAGAAAGCACAAAAAGATAAAAAAGGGTAGAGCAGCCAAGACTCCTAGAGCCTCATCTGCATAGAATAGGAGGAAGGTAGAAAAAGAGGAAGAGGCAGATTAGAAGAAACAGAGGAGGACGAGCATTATGTTGAAGAGGGAGATAACTCTGATGATGGTGGCCTCGAATCTGATACATATGATGAGGCATACCATACTCTTTCTGATGATGATTATGATAATTGAAGAATGAAGAGTTGAAGATGCTTGACTCTTGGTGTTGACTATTGAGTGTTGACTATTGTGTCCTAGATTGTACATTTTCTGAATTTTTGTATATTTTCTTTTTCTTATTTTTAGTTTCTTCTAACTTTTGTGTGTATCAGACTATCAGTGTATGATTGTATGGCTTTAGCAATGTATGAAAATATGGATTATGGACTGTCAAAATTCTCCTTATTCGTGGAAATATCAAATATGGATTATGGATAGAATATCAAAATTTTAATATTTATGGTTAGAATATCAAAATTCTCCTCATTTATGGTTAGGTCCCCCACGGTCGCCTAGGTGCCCCGCCTAGCGCTTTTTGAAACACTGAGAGCTTGGAACCCAAACTTCTGTAGACTCCTCTCTGATGATGAAATTAATGATTTCCTGGCTCTTTCCTCCATTGTTGTCCAATTATTTATCCCCTTGGATGGGTAGGACAGAATTCTTTGGTTCCAAAGTGCCTCTGGGATCTTCTCAGTGCTCTCTTTCTACCAAGTTCTCCATCCTTCTCTTTCCTCTTCTGTTGCCTCTTTCTCCATTGCTGCTAAAGCATGGGTACTGTCAATATCATCTAAGGTCCAATTTTTTAATTGGGTCACTTTACATGAAAGAGTTCAGTCAAGACCAGCTACAAACGAGAGGAATCCCACTACCTAATAGATCTGTGATGTGCATGAAGTAGGAAGAATCTAATGCCCTCTTATTTATTCATTGTGAAACGTCCTTCACTCTGTGGTCCCATGTACTTCACCTTTTTAACTGGACCTGGGTTACTCCTCAGTCTATTCCTCACCTCTTTGTTTCTTGCCTTCGAACTCCTTGGACTGGTTCAGCTATTTCCTGTGGAGAGCTTCGATATCAGCTATCTTGTGGACAATATGGCTCAAAAGAAACTGTCGCATTTTTAGGGGGGGGGAAAGCTTCCATTCCCTTGATGCTAGAAAAAATTCACACCCTTGTATCTTTTTGGACCAGGAACCACAATACTCTAGAAGTTTCTCCTCTTCCGCCCTCTTCCATAACTGCCATAGTCTTTTATATCTTAGGACCCAGAGGATACCTCGCTCGTCTCTGTGGAGGCCCCCTTAGGCAGGCCAGTCAAATCTTAATTTCGTTGGCTGCTCCCTCGGCATCCCTGGCCACTCTGTCATTGGTGGCCTCTACAGTAATTCTGAAGGATCCATTATACTCTCTCTCTCAGTACCTATTGGCTTATTGGATTCCATTTTTGTGGAGGCTCAGGCTTTGCTCGAAGGCCTTCAGAGATTTGACTCAAACTGGAACCTGGAATTGGTGGCCGAAGAAGACTCTAGTAACGTTATTACTTGGGCTTCAGTGCCTTGCTCCATGCCTGTGGAGGCTTGAGCCAATTTTCGATGAAATTGCTTTTATTACTGGATCCATCAGAATTTCCTTGAGGCACGTCTTCAGGGAAGCTAATGCTGCTGCTGACACCTTAGCAAGGGATGGTGCTAGCCTGAATCCATCAGCTACATAGAAGTCTTTTTCCTCCCATGGCTGTTTTTGGATTTCTTTTTACCCCTTTTGGGGTCTGTAAGAGGCACCTGCTAAGCAGGTAGGCCTGAGTTTGTATACGTGTTTATACGCACATACTTTGTACCTTCTTACTTCATCAATACAACTGTGAACATTATAAAAAAAAAGGTTACACTTTTACCATCCTGCTTGTTTCTTTAATTGTGAAACATCTCGATCCTGTTGCTGTAGAACTCTTGGAATCGTGGTGTTTTTGGTGATAAGCCCTAATACAATTTTTATAGCACCTCCCAACCTGATTAAATTGTCAAAAATTCTTCAGTTCCCCTTTCTCTCCAATATCTGCATAGCATGGCTAACAAGCACATCCTCTAGAGCGTGTGTCTCTTCTCCTGGAATGAGCTAGACAATCAACTGGCCATGAGGTCAACAGTGATGTTAGCATCACTAGGACATATCAAAGAGGATCAAAGTAGCACTGAATCCTCCTTATGAACATGCTCTATAGCAATATATTTTGTTCTTCACAACTTGGCACATGTATAAAGAGTTTGGTACATGGGCCCTATGCTGAAGATACGGGGCCTATGCTGAAGATGGTCCTTGGGCAACTTATTGTCAATTGTAGTGAAAAGCCATGAGTGGATGCTGGTTGGAATGATGGAATCCTGAACCAAGTCCATTTTTAACTATGACACGATTGAATTTTTAGAATGAACCATGTTCCATTCTTAACTGTGTATGGACTCGTTGGAAAATTTTTAAAAGCACCTTAAATTCTGCCCGACACTGAGGCCACTGCAGCCCGAAGATCCATGCAAAACCTTGAATTTCACAGCACCCTCATATTTTGATCTGTAATACAATCTTTCACTCTGATATCTGGATAATGCACTGCTTTGTCCAATTTGAAAGACTGGTCCTAATTGCCTGAAAATCCACCCAAACCTCACTCTAAAACAGCCGCTCATCCTAATTCCTATATCCCATTGGAAGGCTAACCCTATATGACTTACATGTAGCAATGCCTTTGGAACACTAGATGATCTATCTACTTCCTTGCCTTCTGCCCATCCCCAACAGCCCATACTTGGCTCTAGTAAACTCTATGCTGATCATTATCCAGTTAGAAGTTTCTTACGTCTTTTCAGGATTTCCATGCTTCTTACCATACAGACCCTGGTTTGCATTCCAATCCTCCAAATTCGGCTCCAAATTCTATGCCGAATTGTCTTCCAGCAGGTTATTCTCATAAAATTCTGTATCCACTTGTGAATTTCTAGTGATTACTTTACCGGAATCTTGGAGAAAGTAGAATGACTCACATATTCTTCTTTGTAGTTTCTGCTGATCTCTTTTTTGATAGGGCCATCTTTATTTTTGCTCCAAATAGTCCTCATTTCTAACATATACTGCAAGGGCTATTTAGATGCTTATTTTGAAAGAGTTGGGATATTGATGATCTCTTGTGGCATTAACTTCCCGAGCGAAAATACTTATGCTCGATTTTGTCATGTTGATGTTGTCACTTGTCTCTGGCATATTCTATGAATGAACTGCCGGAAAAATTACCTTCTGATTAGATAAAGAAAGAAATTGGAAATTGTTGTTGTTATTATGCTACTGTAGAAGCAAAATCTTCCTAGTGCCATGTGATCTCATCTAAGTGCTTTATCTAAAGTTTTGATTGGTTGGTTGTGGTCTTGTCAATCATTAGATAGCTAATTGTTTCATGTGGTGATGTTATGGTCATTTACGCTTACTGTTCGAAGCATGTATGCAGACTAGGCACATCTTATCATCTGTATGTGGAATTTTCTTAGGGAATATTTTGAAGACGTGGATCGAACATGGGAAACATTTGAAAAGACACTATGGGGTCATATTGCCAACTTCTTTAAACTTGCTAAAGAAAGGTACGGGAAGCTTCATACGTTAATTGTTTCTTTGTTCTCATTGCATTTTGCTGTTTCATGAAGTTCATTGAGATATATCTATGCATGCTTTTTTGAAAATGGATATATCTACGCATCCTTGTTGCTCACCTTGTTTATCTAAGTTCTTTCATGCTTACTTAAATTGCTTTTGGAATCCCTGCACAAGTTTTTAAACCATTATTTCATAGTAGTGCATGGTTTTTAAGTTTATAGTTGCTTGCTCTCTGTGGAATTCTTCGTGAGTTTTTTTTTCTCCCCTATAATTCGATTGTGAAAAGTGTAACTGCCAAGGAATTAGATAAAGTCTCAAGCTAGAAAGATATGGAGAAACATGGTGAATGATAAAACATATTGTTATTCATCTTCTCTCCTCCTCCTTATCTCTCCATGCTCTTGGTGTTTGCTGCTTCTCCAGCAAAGCCGTTATTGAATCTGTAACTTTTTTTCAAAGGTGGACATTATATAAATTGATTTCTGTATGCCTTTTGGTATATGGACCATATTTTGGAAATGTATCCGCTGTCTATCTTTTGTTTGTGCTTTAGACATTGATTAATTTGGTGGTATACATAAAAGAAGAGGATGATTTAATTGATGTTGTTATTTGCATATCATATTTCTTGCATAGATTTAAAGCTTGTGTTGCTTTTCTTTGTCATATTATTTTGAGAATGTTGTATTTCTTTTTTATGTAATAATTATATGATCTGAACCCATTTGATTTTCTTATCATTTTTTTCTACAGACATATTTATATTTCATTGATTGCTTTTTGTGTTTATGTGGTTTTCATTTATGAATGGTTTATTTTCTTGCTGGTTTTGTAGCCCTCAATTGTTGGTGCGCTGTCTAAGGTATGCCCTGAGAAGAATTCTTCTGACTTGAGATCCTCAATATTTCTCTTATGCTTTTGCAGCTTCGCACATCAAATGTTATCTCATTTTAGTTAAAGCAGTTTTTCATGTTCTGATTTTTGAAAATCATGTTAAACCTTGTTCATTATTAATATCAAATAATCTACAATGGATTGACGATAATAATAGCTTTTCATAACTAATATGTGATTGCAAATAAAGTAGAATACTGCTTTTAGCATGAACAGTGGTCTATCTGAAGTTCCATGAATCCTGCTTCTGTTCCTCTAATTTATTCGTGTTTCTTTTTTTTTTAATTTGTGTTTTATCTTGACAAGTTTACCATGACAAAAAAATTTTCCATGTTGAGTATTTGAGGAATGTGCCTCTGAAAACAAGAAAAAGCAGAGTAAGCTTCAAGAGAAAAACCAGTAACATATCAGTGAAGGTAGCCATATACATGTCTTGGAGCTGCCTATAAACAAACCGTGTTACACACGAATACAAAACTAAACACATTCTGCCACCATTGCCTGGAACATGATTACAGACCAGTCAATGGTGGTCAGTCAGTGCTTCAAACGACATTGTTGTAGTTGGATGGCCATTTGAAGTAGAGCACTGTAAGTTTCCATATAACAAATGTTACACTATTCTCGTAATATTATGTATCAAGGGTGCAAAGGAAGCAGGGTTTCACATCTTTGAACAAGCTGTTAGCAATGAGATTTGTCCTGTTCACTGAATCTGAGGTTTCAAGTCTCAGTAATTTAGGAATGATAATATGGATGTAGGCATTCTTGAGAACCCTGTGGTCTTTGAGGTTTTCATCGAGCCCCAGCTTACTGTAGAATCCACATTGGTTGATGATGCAGTAAAAATTGCTACAATTTGGCATCACTGAACCTGGTCCAGCGCATTTTTGGCTTTCTATGTTTGAGCTTGATTATGTACCACCCAAGGCCTATATTATTTTATTTCCTTTGGATTTTGTACAATATTTTTCTCACAATATTGTAACTTATTTGTAAACTTTTAATGCATATACTTGATTGCTTAATGAGGGAAAATATTCACATTCAATTACAAGTTTTTTTGCTAAGCCATATTTATGTTTTAACTGGTCTGAATGATATTGTTGTTGAATAATGTTTTGACGATCCAAAGGTCATCAGTGACTGTTATGCCTTTCACTTGTTTCCAGTTCAAGTTCCTAACATGACCTCATTCTTTGTGATGTTGCTGATACTATTAGTTTCCTTGACCCAGGGTGGTTGAAATGCAAGAGATTCTTGATCAGCAGCTAGCTGAGGAAGCAGCTGAGGCTGAGGGAGGTGGTGCAATGGCATCTATTGCAAATCCTCGAAGATCTGCAAAGTATGTGCCCGAGTTAAATAACTTCTATGCTAGACAAGAATCTTTGGTGACCGATTATTATGTAAATATTCATTTTTCTATCTTATTTCTTTCGCTATTGATGTTATGACAATCGGTGGTTTCTGTTATTTGATTACGTTTAACATGGGGTTGTCTTGGTAATTGTGTACAAATTCATGAGCGACTAACTGATTAAACAATTGATTAGTATCATTCTTAGTTGCTTGAAGTAGATTCGGGGCAATTAGAGAGGAAATCAGCTGCAGCCTTCAAGAGGTTCAAGTTTTGAGGTGCCTATTGCTTGTGAAGTTCTGTTGGATACATGTGTCAACTTACTTCCTCATTATGTGTTTGTATATGCATATATGAGTTGACAGACATATGCATTCTAACTGAAAGTATGTCTAAATAATTTATATGTTAAAGAATGTGCAAGGATGTGAAGTATGTCTAAATAATTTATATGTTAAAGAATGTGCAAGGATGTGATGTAATATTATTTATTCACACACACACACACACACACATAAATTATTCATTCTCTTTTTTTGTGATTGAAAGGCAGAAGATTCAAATTTGCAGTCTAGGAACTGAATAAAGAGATTGATACCCTCTAGACAATAAAGGCAAACCTAGAAAGTGTGCATATATTTATATTCGTTTAAGTATATCCAAGGTTTTAGAACTCGGCTTGTCCAGAGAAATCAGCTGCTTACCCGGCCGAGTTAATCAGTTTAGTCTGGGTTGGCTCTTCCGAGTACGAATCTAGCTGGGAAAGATCAAAATAATAAAAAATTGTAAACAGTCCTGAAAATTTGTTAAAAAGGATAAACAATAGATAGAGTATATATCGGATGAGAAAAAAGCTTTTAAAACTAAAAAAATAAAAAGCTGGTTGAATATCTTTTTTTTAGAATAAACTGGGAAAGGAAAAATAAGAAAATATTAAAAATAGTAAACCATAAAAATACGTAGAAAATACTAGTGAGTCAATTATAATTGATATAATCAAATATTACATCAACTATAAATAATATAAATATTTTTATCCGACTTTTATATACTCCCAAGTTTGGGGGAACCCAGGCATGGCGCCCTGCAGTTACTCGGGCCGAGTAGTCAAACATTCGATAAATCTTTTTTTTGAAAGAAACGTATTTGTGTGTGCATGTGAACATGACAAGTAAATTAAATTTCAGTTTGAGATGGAATTCAGGTTTTGAGATGCTATAAGTTAGCATGGCATCTTGATTTTTGTACAAGATCCTTCAACCATGGAAAATTCTACTATGTTTGAAATACCTCAATCTTATAACTGTAAAATGTAGGAGGTATGAGAATCGACTTGGTAAGCAACTTTAGAGATTGGATATTCTAGCCATGTCATAGGACATGGTTTCCTAATCCCTCTAGCAAAGATTCTTATATAATTTGAATGGTGTTTTTGTAATTACGTGTGACCTCTTAAAAAAAAAAAGTTACGTGTGACCTCTTTAGTCCTGCTCACATGATGATTATGATTAGAATGTTTTTGGTTACTTTTTCTGCAACACCTTGATCTCTTTATATCAGTTTTTACAATAATCATTTACTGTCCACCTGTTGTGCTTGCTTGACATGTTTGTTTACCCAGATTTCCTGTGATGATGCAAAGCATTTCGGTCACAGTTGTATTTTGCTCGAAGAACTAAATCAGGTGGCAATATTATTGCATGTGTTTATAAATGATCTTTATACATTTTGCAGAAAATCTGCAGTTCCATCAGCTTCACCGAAAAGCTTAGCTCATGAAAAGTTGAAGGGCCAAGGGAAGTGTTACAAGGATAAGTGTTATGAACATATCACAAAAACGGTTGAAGAGCAGTTCAATAAGCTATTATCACAGGTATTGGTTGGATATGAACAGGCTAGTCCTTTTTAATTACTTTTTATTCATTGATAACCTCCCAATTTGCCATCTTTGATTACTTTTAATTGCTCTTAAATGTGCCTGCAGCTTGTCTTTGAGGATCCTGAAGCTGCTTTGGAGGAAGCTAGAACGGTATGCATACTTTTTTTGTTTATTTCGGCATACTTTTATTTGTTTATTTCTTAAGGATGTGCGTACTTTTAATGTTAGAAAGTTCTAGTATCAAAGAAATTCTATGACTTGTTTTATGGAAATTGAGGGTATTGTGTAAATGAAGCAATTGATTTCAATGTTTTGAACTTGCTTATGAAGTTACCTTATTTTGGACACTATATAGAAGTGCATTGGTGCTTCGGCTGTTTAAAGGAAGATGACGATTTTTCTTATAAATATACGAATGAGGA